AGAAGCGATAAAAGAAGAACTAGTGAAGTCACTGTGATAAACGTTATTTCTATCTAAGCCGTGAAATCACGTGAAGAACGACCTAGCTAAAGAGTTGAGCAGGAGGAAGCGGGGGGCTTGAGGAACGTTTAAGAGCATCAAGGATGTAGTGAAGACTAGAAGGAACGTCCCACTCTGTGCCCACCTTCTCCATTCGACAATTATTCCTGTCCTAACGTAAGCAGCAGAAACCAGGTCGCTACGTTTGCAGAATGAAAGATCACTAGGCGTTATTGAACGCGCAGTCGAAATTTCGATGCTAGGAGTATTCTGTGTCTCGCAAATGAGAGATAGGATCCGAAGTTTCGACCTAGGTCAGCTATCAGAGATCAGCGACGTCATTCTACACGTCAAATATGAACATATCAGGATATATATAGAATAAGGTGAGTCGGACACCTGATGCACTTCCACGACAACCGATCGATGAGAGCCGTTACCGACTGGATTCCTCAGAATATCAAGCGCTCTATAGGAGCATGCTCAACGAATTCCTACAGCTAGGAGGACCCACTGGTGTACTCTTACACGGGATAGGAAATATGGAAGTGTTACTGGTGGCCGCTCGAGTCAGTCTACAACGGGACGACAGCTGATAAAGGTGACGATTTAGAAGGAGAACATTTCAAAACTGAATGACTTCGTACTTTCTAGTTCAAGTATCGACTTTAATAGTTTCCGCGATCTCAAAACTTTAGCATCAAGCAAGAAGCACCAAATTTTCAATCCAGAATTAACGAAATCGCTTAACCTCCCTATTTATAACATGCGTCATCAGCCTGAACATATTTCTGCCATTTGTCAAGCAACCAATCTAGTCGCTTTGTGACAGCATTTTCGGAGCTTTTTTGGAGCCAAATATTCCATACTTACCACATCATGGCTGCACAACGAAGTTGTTGCCGCAATTTTGTGCATTACGAGTACGAAATGGGACGCGATACATAGACCACTTCTCAGAACATCAACCGTGCACAGGCTCAAGGATTTGTGTCCAGGTGAACAGTGTTACGGTTCTTTGCTGAGTTTTCGTGCTGAGAACATTGACGTGGAGGACCAGCTGCGTTCCAGATGTTCACGCGAGGATCGAAAGACCGTCATCAAGTCTATCGAAGAGAATCCGACAATGATTATGGGGCTGTTGGTCCACGATTTTGAATGGGATCATGCGATAATAACACTGCCAAAAGCAGTAGAAACGGAAAAATTCTTGGATGCAAATAAAACAATGACTATCGGCTTATCAGGATTTATGTAACTATTATGCTTTCCGATTAAACTTGTTAAAGGTTCATAATGATAGCTATGATAGAGAGAATTTGAGAATGAGTTGTATGTAAGCGGTAGCCTTGATGGTGTGGTGGTAGCGCGCTCCACCGGTATGTGTAAAACTTATGTGTCCATCCCGTCTGAGGTCGAATTTCTGCTCACCACTCAATTCTCTTGGAAATCAACAGATAATGAAGATAGCAGGTGTGGCCGATTTTGAAAGCTTCAAAGCACTGGAAAGAAAAATTAAACGTCATCCAGTAAGGATTCGGTATTGTAGACCAAAACAGTCCATAAAATCGATTGTTCTTAAAACCTCGTAATAAACATTCAAAATAATCCAAAAAAAGAGAATGTTTTTAGCCTAAACGAGGTTGGTACGCCAGGGCCATACACCGGTGTTTCGGAGGTTCGTCCTCCTCGTCAGTGACCCCCGCCCCACATTAAGCCCTGCATTGTAACAAGGAGGGAGGCGTATGTGGTATGTGGTGATGGCATAGTGTACATTGACACTGGTCCATCATCACTTTCAGTCGAAGGAGTTCTTTTTTTTTGGATTATTTTGAATGTTCATTACGAGGTTTTAAAAACAGTCGATTTTATGGATTGTTTTGGTCTACCAGCCGAACTCTATTCGACTGAAAGTGGTAATGGACCAGTGTCATTGTACACTATGCCATCACCACAAACCACATACGCCTCCCTCCTTGCTACAATGCAGGGCTTAATGTGGGGCGGGGGTCACTGACGAGGAGGACGAACTTCCGAAACACCGATGTATGGCCCTGGCGTACCAACCTCGTTTAGGCTAAAAACATTCTCTTTTTTTTTGAATTATTTTGAAAATTCGGTATTAGGTGTCGTCGCTGGAGTGTTAAAGATCTTAACACATGGGTTACGCCAGTTTTCCTTATACATTCCGATTCTAGTATATGCTCGAAAATTAGTTATACTCGCTACTTTTTTCCAATTATTTGGATGGCTTTTCTACAATTTATGTCTTTTTATAAGAAAAAGTAGCACGAAAATTTGGTGTCGAAAAAACTGTTATCTGATAAAAGGACATACTTTCATTTTCAATTTCGAATGTCGGCGTTATTCGATTTTCCTCTCGACTTTCACTGCGCACAGTTTTTTCGTATCTTTGTGATTATGAACTCTAAAGAAATTGAGCTACATTATGGTGCTTTGATAATTCACAATATCACCAATTTACTTGTACACCGCGCCAAATCCTCCTTGACCGAGTAGATTGACGACGACATAGTTAGCTCTAGACTCGATCACTGTCCCCTAAACGGGTTTGACCAGCAAGGGTTATGTAACGATACCTATGAGTTATGATGATAAGCAGCCAACCGGTTTGATGCCAATGTCGTCTTCCTCCTCGTCGTTCATGAGTGATTCAGCTAGTGTTGCTCTATCACACTTTGTTGATGCTTTTATAGTGGAGTTAGACATAACAAGTTAATGTTGATGATAATGGCCTGATTTCAATACTCATCTCTTTCATTGATTGCAGTAGTGAATGCCCTGTCGATTGATATGTGTTTGTAGCCTGCCACGCGGATTAATTTATCAGAAAATGCAGCAAGAATAAATCGCGTTATGAAAAACAGCCTAAAATAAGCAATATTTACGTATAATACATTCATATCCGCCAACCATCACAAGTGACAGATCAAAAGGCATATCACTGAACCGTTAAATCAATGCACTGTAGTAGCTCGACTAGTAGCAATTTCGTAACATAAGTAGTATGTCAACCTGGGTTAAACACATGAGGACAAAGAGGGAGAACAGATTGACAATACGAGGAGTATTCCGATTAAAGTGTTTGCAAAGCACAGTCAGGAGAAGGTGAAAGGAGGAAGGGGCAGGGGGGCTATCGTGATTCTCCTCGGAATGACGATAACACGGGGCGGTATGCATGGTCGACGATGTGTGAGTGCCATAGTCGTACGAAGTTATATAGTCTCATATGTTTGTAATCGTCCTGTGAGCCCGCTGACCCATCGACGTGGGTGGAGTCGTCCAAGAGCCCACCACTGGGATCGTCTCCGTGATCTGGGCTTGCAGTTACAATATTTTGTGCAACATCGAGCAGTCGACCATCAAGCAAAAAGCGGTAAGCATGCCTTACGTCTTATGTGGCATGTCACTAATCAACAACTGAACCAGGCTACATCGAGTTATAAACAACAATGGTAGGCGATCGATAAGCTAAAAGGAGAAGAAAACGAGTAAGAACAGGAAAAGTAACCAGACGGCTACACGGGCCAATCGAAGGCGCTCGACTGCCGGCGTCGTCGGCCCATTGCCTGCGTATCTCCGCTGCGTATCAGTCCTCCCGTAGCGTAACCACCGCCTCTCGCTTTTGGTTTACCTTAGCAATCGAGCACGTTATATTATCACTCACATGAGGAAGACAATATGAAAATAGCACTGAATGTTGCATGAATTGCTACTATCTTAATCATTGTTCAAAATCATTTCTCTCATACCATTTTTGCTTCAATCTCGTACAAGGTGGTCAACCGTATCATAGGGTTGGAATTGTGTCGAAATGCTGGGAAAACGAGAGCAAACTTGGTTACACAAGATTGTTCCCATTTTTTGGTTTAAACCGACGTATTGTGTAACATGATTGTTGGTGACTCGTGCTTCACTGCTGAGAGGAGAAATTCCTTGACGGAGCAGATGGTTCTCGTCCCAACTGGACAAGTTTTTCGTTGATTATTCGGCCTACTTGTCATCGTCTTTCTCCATAAATTATTCATTGCGTTTTCACGGCTATCCCTTTGAACAGAGGAGATTGAGAATGTTTTCGCAACATAACTACTACATTAAATGAATCAGTAGAGATGAATGGTTTAGCCGACTATGCATCTCTTCAAAAAGGTGAAGGCCGGATGACAAACGGCTCTAATGCTACCATTTCAGTTCAGTGACAATATATATGTGTTGTTACGCTCATCGTTATGCTAGAGCAGCACCGGTTTTTACATTGTTCCCTCATGTCAAGAGAGATTATTCGCTCTCATGAGCTTTATTCAACATTATTCGTCACACGTCACGCAATAAGTACAAATATATTACGCTTGGTAAGAGAGTATTTGAGGCCTGGGCGAGGTTGAAATACACCGTTTATTATTGAGATATATTTTCAAAATATCATAGTTTTTGTTTTCAGTGTTTCTTGGGATTATGCCTGAACTTCAATATGACTAATAGTTATTTTTGAGCAGCGCATGTGATCTGTTGTCTGCACTTATGCAACGCAATACACGTGTTTCGGCATTGCAGCCTAATCAGTTGCGCGGGACCTTTTGGTTTAGTCAGTTCCTCGCGGATCTACCTTTGGGATCTTCGTATGTAATCTCCGAGGAACTGAGTGGACAAAAAGGCACCGTGCAACTATTGAGGCTGCAACGGTGAAAACACGTGTATTGCACTGTATAAGTGCCCACAACAGACCACATGCATGGCTCAATAATACTTTAAACTATTTTCAAAAATAATGAGGACTTATTATTTGTATTTACATGCGCATCTCTCGCTTTACTTTTTGTTACGAATGACTTATCACGTGTTGTATAATTGAAGAAATTTTTTTTATTCAACCGCTCTAGCAGTGGTATGATGGCACAAATACATATATTCAATAATGTTGGGTGATATACAGAAGTCCCAACGCTAAACGGGAAGCGAGCCCACTTCCCGCCTTTTCTTGGGCACGTGCTAACCACTGCACTATTAGCGCCACTGCTGTGCCGTCACTTGAGTTTGCACATCACTCAAAATTATTGGATATGCTTTTATAACACCATAAAACCGCCAAAGATTTCAAATAGAATATTCAATGTTTATTTTATTTGTATTCAATATCTGTCAGCATTTACTAGCGTTTGAAAGCCTATAGCGGCTTCGCTAGACATGCCGTTGACGGCTGGATGTGATGACAGATCGATGCGTTGTGTCGCAGAGTGATGAAAGAACATAACCGTCGGTGGAACAATGATTAGCACTCACGCACAGCTGTATAGGATGAAGCGCTAGTTTTGATTATTTGAGCGCTTTCCAGCGGTGGTATGGTGTTGTAGAATATGCAAGATTTCTTGGCCTCGAGCACGACTCAATTCCACATCTCACTCTATCCCACAGGGCGTTACTCTAACGCGCTGCACCATAGTGCCTGTTTTGCCACCACTCTTTCTACGCTACAGAGCATTAATCTTTTAAGCAAGCGGACCCTCATTGGAAAGAATTCTATTTGATCATCCAATACTCAATATGTGTCAGCGTGACTCGATTCAATGTCGATAGCTGCTGCATGGGCCAAACTGTCCACGGTTGCTTGCTGAGAGTTACATACGTTATAGCTTAGAAAGAGTGTGTCGCGAAGCGGGCGCCAATAGTCCAACGAGATGAAGCGAGCGCTCGGGATAGATTGAGTAGGAGTTCGAGTCCCCATTGACTTAAAAACGTTTCACACATCACTCTACATCACTGACTGTTTTATTTTACTCTAGACTTTGGAAAGGATGTCAACTGGTGATAGAGTACTTGCTGTTGTAAATCGTGAGTTCAAAATAAGTCGTAGAGTCACAGCAACAATTCCCAACATCAGCAGTGTTTGGGCACGGGATATTAGGAAATGTACAAGTGCAGTAGTGGTTCAAGAAATTTCGTGAAGGACACGGATTTTAAATTTGCTTAAAGACAATTTCTTTTGCACCAGCCTCACCGGAACTCATGGAAAAAGCGATCATTGAGCTTATCGTCTTATGACTACACGAAATATTGCAAAGTGCTGTGATCAACTATTTTGCCATCATCGCCATTGAAGCAATTTACAAAAGTTCTTCGGTCTCCACACGGTTTGAAATCGCAACTGCTTTGAAAAAGAAGCTTAAAGTAAGAATAAACATAAGCAATGTAAGATATAAATTAAGGGGCACAAAAAGTAGGTTTCTAGAGGCAGTCGCGAATGATCAAGCCAAAGATAGTTTTCCACAGTCACGCTGGCTCATATTCTCTACCGTGAAAAACGCAAATGCGCTGATGACATATTTTAGGCCTTTCATAAGGTTTGTTATAAAACTTATAAACTGCTAGACACATGTTGCAACCGTTCCGCCTCAATTCTCGCACAATGCCTCACTATGAATCAATTCCTTCCAAGGGTATGTACATCCTACACAAAAAAAAAATCAACGACGGAGATGCTACAGTGCATGTGCTCGGTGAAAAATCACTTTACATTGCAGAGGTAAGAAATCATTACACGTCCAGTGATAAAATCGCCCAACATTATGGTAATTAACAGCCGTTTCGCTCCTGGCTGATAAATATAATAATACATTTATGTTCGGCTAATTTTGTGTGTAGAGGCTATACTATCTTTGAAGATATAGGTTCAAACGAAAGACACCGCACTGATGAGGCTGAAAGGGCGAAAACCGTGCTTAGCACTTTATAAATGCTTTTAACCTCATGGAAGGCATAAAATATGCTACCACAGCAAATTTTATTTCAACCAAAAAGTCAAAAGCAGTGAATATAAGAAATGTAAATAATTTCAAAACGATCCGATAAGGTTCATATGATTTATTCCTGACGTCGGCCTCTCTCTTACTACCTTATTTGATTACGAGCATTGCTCTGATTACTGGAACAACCAATATACACAGAAAAGTTGGGCACGCCGTCAGACTACGCAAGAGTTAATTATAATCTATTCGTTTATCGGGCTTGAGTCATCTTCTGTTAACAGTGGCGACAATCTAATCGTAATCACCTAGATTTAACGTTTGAAGTGGTCAATATGAACGTATAGCGACCGTTTGCATTTCAACGGCTACACAACGTTTGTGTAATGAATGCTATGTATTTCTGATCGACAGCCAACCAAAAGCAGATCGCTTTAGATAGGACTTTACAAGGGCAACGCTTTTGGGCGCTTGATAACTCACAGAGAACTTTGACTGGAACAGGTATTGGCGGCAGTATAGCAATTTATTATCTCTAGGTTATTGAAACGCGAGGGTGCCGTGGAACTTTTAGTTGATTAGCGTGACGGTGCTCTTACATTTTTGAGAAGTGGATACTGATCCGAGTGTATTCTCCACAGTCAGTCGTTTGAAAAAGTAATTTATTCTCAGCTCTTATTGAACTTTTTTTGCATCAGGTACAACCTGGACCCACATTTCACTGTGTCCGAAAACGCATGCTGAACCTTTGCACTATCGATGCCCGTTTTGACACCACACTTTCTATGCTACAACAGGTTATGTGTCTACGGTCTGAAATGGGCAGTCACTATCGACACTAAACTCACATTGAACCCATGTCAACGGTGAAAATCGTGATATCACGGTTACCTCAACTCTATGTGCAGTGTTGAAAAAGCTACAAGATTTTTGGGTGGCGTTGAATAATTATGTAGTTTACTTCGTCATTATTATTTGAACCAACATGTCATGTGATCCGTCAAATGAGCGGTACACGTGTTTCAACCTTGACGGTCTCATCGGTCGGACGGTACTCTTCTTGTCTTTTGCCAATCCTCTCGTAGCGCTCAATTTCCTAAACTAAGAGTAGACGACAACGAACATTTTACTCTGCATGTCAGTTGAGATTATCACAGAACACAGAGCGTTTTGCACTCGATTGCTCTTGACTGATGTCGTTAATATAAACATACTTTTCGTTTCAAGTGTTTTTAAGACCACGCTCAAATTCCAACATATCTCGTAACTATTATTTAAGTCAACATGTCAACACTGTCTGTTCGGTGATAATCTCACCTGACATACAGTGTGAAATGTTTGTCGTCGCCTTCTCTTAGTATAGAGGACTGAGCGTCCCGAAAGGAGTGACAAATACGAGAAGGGTAGCGCCCGACTAATGAGACCGTCAATGTCGAAACACGCGTATCGAACTTTATAAGTTAGTCTTTATAACAGGCCACACAATATGTTGGCTCAAATAGTTGCGAGATATTTTGAAACTTGAACGTGGTCTCAAGAAAATACTCGAGACGAAAAGTATTATATATTTCATATCCATTGAGCGCAGTGGTACTGTGTGAAGATGTGGGTTCAGTGTCGATAACGACTGTCCACGAGAGACTGTTGATGGTTGGATGTTGACAGACAACGCGTTGTAGCATAGAAAGAGTGCTGCCAAAACTGGCGTCGATATTGCAACGGTCCAGCATGCGCTTCCGGATAGAGTGAAATGTGGGCTCGAATTCCAACTGACACAAACGTTTTACACACCACTTCACATCATTGGGCAAATTGTAAGATCATAACACCGCAAATGATGGTCATATTAAATGGATTGTGAAACTTTTTCATACGTTGTTTTGCTTTTGCAGCTTATCACTACCTTGGCGAAGCTTGAGAAGTAAAGACATTCATTCTAAACTTTGTTTCGGAAAATTCCGTCACACACACTCTAGTAAGTGGTGCGGAATACCTCTGACTTTAAGGCGTAACAAAAATTTATTCGAGCTTCGCCAAGGGTTTATCTCAAACTTGCAGTGATTTTCTGATTTTAGGAAAGCTCTATTGCTTTCATAAGATTAATTATTTGGTTCTCGTATGTCAGAAGACAAGAAATATTTATTCGACGTCGGACCAGGCTTCTTCATAGGATTGTTAGAAATGATTCAAAAACTCAGATCTTTAGCAAAGAACCCAGATGGCCACTTTTTTGAATCACCCTTCGCTAATATTTACTGGACAGTAATCCTACCTTATAACACTAAAACTCTTTCAAGTGCGCAAGTCTCATGAAACTCAAGAATGTGTTCGTTTCTTGGAAAAAGCTCGTTTGATAGCGCTATAGAAGGAAGAAAATTTGTGCATTACAGCTTGAAGGGAAGAGCTCTTTTTCCAGACTTATAATAACCATCAATAGCGTAGATTCTAGTGATTCTGATGCTGTGCATATTTTCCTTTGAAGAGCATTTACTGCAGTGTAGCACGAAGAATAAGATTGAGCTTTGCCTATTTGGCGACCTTGTTTACTGGCCAACTCACGGCAAAGGAGAACGGTGGGGAGAGCAATCGACACAAGCTGGATATGTCGGGTGCAGTTTGTTTTCACATGGGCTTTTTCTCCACTTTGAAAGAAGCTCCATATAAAACTGATTACTCAGATACTACGACTTGACAGAAACATATGCTTTTTCCCTTCAGCGAATAATTCGCGTTAGATGAATAAAGGAGCAAAAAGTGTGATATTTAATTTTTTCTGAATTTTAAAACTCTATAAGAACACGATTTGAAAAACAAACAACATGAGGATGTAGCCAGAGAGCTAAGCTTTCGAATGGTTGTTGAGACTCCCATGGAAAGCTCCTCTATAGCGAATGACATCATATATTCATTTGCCGCCTTCCAACATGAAGTACCGACTATTTTTGAAGAACGTAATTTTAGCATCAACACTGCCAAATTTCGTTGTCATTTTTTTCAAAAACAAAAGCTACAATCTCAAAAAATTGTACTTTTAACCATTATCGTATATTGCTATCGCCCGCACTAGAAAATTGTATCGTGAATACACATTTTGCACAATGCGCAACTAAATGATGGAAGTTACAATGGCGAAGACTTCCCTTTATCGACTGTTCTAAAGCCTCACTATTGGCATTCAATTAGTCTATGAACATGTTCAACTCACTGAGGAGGAGAATCATCAATTCGTTTTTGCACTGATCGCTTAGCCGCACGTGAGGCAACTGATATC